GAACCAGATGATCTCACACCGTTTATATTGATAGTTTGAGTTCTGAAACTGACGTACGACAATATAAGTTGTAGGGCAGTCTTTGATACCGTAGTAATTTAGCTTCGTTACCAGTGTTCAATGCTCAACGCAATCAAATGCCTTGGATAAGTCACAAAATACTCCAAGAGCATTTTGAGACGCCTCCCAAGCCTTGAAAATATGTTTCAGAAGTGCTACAGCAGCATCAGCAGTAGAGCGACCTTTTGTGAAATCATATTGTTTAATATGTAGTAATTTATTTAAATTTAAATAAAACAATAACTGTTCAAGCATTCTTTTTCAAAGATTTTACTTAACGTCGGTAATATTGACATAGGTCTATAATTACTATGGTCTTCCCTATTTCCGGATTTAAAAAGAGGTATAACTTTGCTTAGCTTCATAAGATTTGGAAATATTCCTTCATCTATACAACGATTAAATATATCAGCCAAGTAAGGGGCTATAACATGAACTATACTTTTAACAATATAAAGAGATATGCCCCATAAATCAATTGTGTTTTTTATTTTCAGACAATTGAACTTTTAATAATATCTAAGAAACTAATATATTTAAATTTAAACTGGCTGTCTACCTTAGGTACGTATTTTTCTAAAATAGCCATTGCGGTAGTTGGAGAAGAATTTAAACCAGATGTTGTTTCAATTGGTATGTTTATAAAATACTCATCAAATATATTAGCAATTTTATCACGAGATTTGAAAGTCATATTATTAAATATAATTGTCAGAATATCTTCACGCATTTGCTTCTTACCGGTTTCACGGTTTATTATATTCCAAGTTGTTTTGACTTTATACTTTACCATCATTTGGCCATACCATCTCAATTAATTTCTCATCTATGTTATTTTTAAAATTATCTAGACGTATTTTAGTAATTGGTCTACACTCAATAATTTTAGGCTCATTAGTAGTATTAATCCTAATTAGTAGTATTATCCTAAAGTAAAGAGAGAGAATCAGTGGTTTAGAAAACACATAAGCAATTAAATTCATAAATGAAATAATACACCGACTTATTTTATATTACGATGTAAACTTATTTTACACCAGCATATGATGTAGCTTCCCTTAAGTGAAAGAATTTTTATGATCAGATTAATATTTCTGAAAATCACCTCCTACAAAGAAACAAATTTTAATTTATTTCTTTTTTATATTAGTATTGATGATTTTAAAACCTAAACTACTATATTGTTTGTAATTCTAACAAAGAAATTAATTTAGTATAGGGGTTAAAATTATAAACAATAAAAAAACAATTCTATTGTAAATGGATGTTGCCGAAAATTTATTTAATTAAATAAAGGAGCATTTTTATTAATATTTTATGGAAAGGAGTAAAAAGAGCGTACTAATTATTTCAGTTTGTATTTGAACAGTATAATGTCTAGATCCAACTAAATTGGAATTGTATTTTATGCTATGAAAAATATTTCGGATGGACAAATACTTTTTCAATCGGGTAGTACAGACTATAAAAGCACTACAGGCTAGGTTTTTGAAACAGTGTACAATTACTTACCTACTTTTTATACCTTCAATAGAAAAAATAAATATTAATATTTATTCAAATCTATTATTAATTTCTTGGTGCAATAGAGTGATTATCAGTGATAGGATAGATAGTGCTTATTAACCTAAACTTCGAAGAACAGAGATTGCGTGAAAACGTAACAGACACACATAAACACAAACTAAGGTACTTACGCATTTATAATTTTAGTTTCGATTGTATGGATTAAAAAAACTCTAGACAACACAACAGTTTCAAGAACCCCAATAGAGTCTTCTATTGGGGTTCTTGAAACTGTTGATTTTTTAAAGTTTTTTTATTTGATAAATATTAATATATTGTCAATATAAAATTAATCAAATACAATATTAATATCCTTTGTGAAAATGGTCCAAAACATAAAAGATGTGTCCTTCAAACAATTTCACAGGTAAGTTACATCGTTGAGCCTAATTTTAACAATGTATCAACCTCTATAAAACCGAGACCCTTATTCCGTACCGGTGCGTTCATTGGCAATTTCCACATAAATGCATGATGAGGCATATGTAATCTTATAATATAAAATTCAATAATAAACTTTCCTCCTGCCCAAGAAGGTCTACTATTTTTGAACGCTTGATTGTTTTAAAATCTACAGTTTTATAAGATAATTTAATAACTTTTCACAACAAAGTAATACTGTTATAAAGTATATAAGTAATAACTAATAATGATTAGGCAATATCACATACTCAGGAGGACTATTATGATCTCGATCATATTACGACTTGCTGACTGACATTTCTTGTTCTTGTTTACCTATCAGAATTTTTCATTAGCAAACCATTTACGTCAGAAAACTTTACGTTAGCTTTTACTAATTACAATCGACTTGCTTTGTAATTTCATTCAATTTGAGGCGCTAAACGGTATTTTAAATAAGATACCACAATACTCAAATCCGAGATATATAAAGGAAAAAATATTTTCTACATTGAGCCGATCAGGAATCAAACTCGGGATCACGGAAATGACGTCAATGATCGACATCAATGAGAGAGTTGATTGAGAACCAAAATATACGGGTTTTTTTCACACCTAGCAATAAAGTATTCCAACAATTTACTGCGACATGCAAGTTTTGACGTTTAAAAGCTGACTTCTATGAGAATTACAACATAATTAATTTCAAAATTATCTAAGCATTGCATACAATTTATATAAACTCGTAGAAGCGACTAATAAAAACTGACATGTTTTACGTATTTACAGTTACTAGTTTCCGACGTGTAGCTATCTGCCATGTTGTTTCATGTGTACACATTTTAGAGTTTCGCAGCCGAATAAAAAAATTTAACCTTATAGAATTAAATCGGTCTGTCTCTCTGTCTGTCTTTTTCTATATCATGATCATCATCAGCCCTTTTACGTTCCCACTGCAGGTGCTCCGGTCTTATTTAGGTTGAGGTTAGGGATGGGCCATTACCCTTCACGCTGGCCCAATGCGGATTGGAGGGTATTAACGACAGCAAATGCAGCCTGGACCAACGAATGAACTTACCTTCCGAAGCATAGAGTTGAACATTGAAAATTAACATGGCACTGATTTCTGTCTTTAAAGATCGTTCCTAAAATCATTAAGATTCTTAACCATTTTTGTCAAAATTAATCGATGAACTTTAACAAATAAAAATAATAAGCGGTAAAATACTCATTTCAAATCTAAAAAAAATATTAAATTGTATATCTCATGGTTCTAACGAGATATAATCAGCCGAATTTTGAGAGAGAGAACACATTATAAAAAAATGCAAATATTAAATTAAAAAGTAGTATGCGAGCGAGGATTTCCGGTAACGTATACTGGACTTTAGGTAGGCAGTACATTTGTAAAATACATGTCGTTTAGATTCTATTGAGATACGATTATTACCTGTGATCCCTGTCAAAAGTGTCATCTAAAAGTGTGAAATAGCGATATATTTTCGCCACATTATTCATTTAGTAAAAATATCCATTTTCTGACATGGAATCAAGGGATCCGAAGTTCTCACAGATTGAAACCGGCGTAGTTGCTCAGTTAAGTAATATAATATATAGCAATCAAATGCAAATAACAACTATGTGAAATCTATGAAACCACTAGCTGACCCGTTGAACTTCGTACCGTCATGTTTTTTCTCTCCCAACGCGAGAGTAATTATTATTTATAAAATTTCTTATATACAAACCTTGTCCTTATAATATGTAACACAATAAAAAGAATCATCCAATTTGGTGCAGTCTTTCGGATGTTATGCGCGTTCATACATTTCGGCGATTTACTTTTCATATATATATAGACGTCGTAATTTTTTTTTTAAATATCTAAAACTATTTTAGAAGACTTGTCTATTTATTTGTCGTTAAAAAACACGGTAAATTGGACATACAACTACTACGTATAAAAAATCTCATCGTTATTTGCCCATGTCCCAATATAAAACTGTTTCATAAAAAATATTGCACCGATAAATTACCCATAGTCTAGAGTAGAGCACAACATATTATGTACCTAACAAACTGAACATTGCAATTTTTAAGCAATTTTCGACCTTGCTGCTGAAAGAACAAACATGTAAAAGTGAACTCCGTGCTAAGTTGTTCACTCTACCCTCATTACTTTCAGGAGTGTATTAAATAACTCTGATACCCAGAGGAGAGTGCTTCTCGAGATAAATTACACAGTTTTTCTTGTAAAAGGAAACATATACGATATGTTTTGATTTGTTCATTAACGAAAAAGAACTTGTTTTAATACACAATCTCCGACTGAAGCTATACCGATATTATGAAGAACAAAGATTTGATTTTTTGTTTGTTTGTTTGTTTGCAAACTACTACAAAATTTAAAAAAATATTTGACCTATGGGAAGCTACATCATATGCGGGTAAAACAACTAGTTTTTATTTTTTATAGGTTCGTTTAAAATAACTATTTTAACACTTAAAATAACATAAAAAAGTCTATTGATACAACGCCTATGCAAACTCAATACTTCTAATTAAACACCAATAATAATGTAAAGTTATATGACAGGCTAAATGATACTCACAACTACGTCATATCATACCATATTACAGCTTTACTTAAAACGATTTCTCCTTTATCAGAGGTTTTCACCGTCTAGACATTATCCAATTAACATTCGAGTTAACGTGGATCAGGACAGTGTACAAAATTAACTTTTATTTTTCATACCGATTCCGTTGTTTGTTTGAATGTCTGAATTTTTATCCGTTGGAAACCTTCTATAGTTGTAGGTAGGTAGCATACCTTTTGTCTGATCCATGCTTTGAACGTCGTGTATTACTTAAGCAATAAATTATATTACTTATATCTACATATATTTATAGGAAGGATAATAACAAATTAAGTAGGACATTACTATTCTAATTGATATAAATAAGCTTACCTCGACTGATGGTCGCTCAAGTATCCTTGATCGCGATCTCTGATACGGTCCCTGTAACAAAGTTTCCGAGTTAACTTTCTTTATTAAATGGGTAATGTTCCAAGAGAGTTTAAAATTAGAAGGGCCTTTTTTATTTGATTAATCGACGAGGTCCAGTGATTTGAACGCCAAAATTACCTTAGCGGAGGACAGCACCAATTCTGTAAAATTCCTAGGGGAAAAGCCCCTATTTTCACTTTGATGAAAAAATTGCTTTTGTGCTTCGGATCCTATTACGTAGAGGAAATAATTCGTGTTTTTATTAATGACAATAGGAATGAGTTAAAGTCCGCCATTTGTACACTTTATTTGTGCAAAAAAGTTTAAATTAATAAACAATAAGCATGAGTTAAAGAGATTTAATCGTCAGTAAATATAAAAAAAAATTTGACTGTTAAAATAAAAACCGGTGGTTATGATAAGAATATCAAACCTCAAGAAAGAAGTTAAAGTTTTCTTTTCATTTCAAAAGATTTAATAAAATTATATATTAAGAACGAAAATATTAAAATACTCTACATGAATCAAATCTGTATTTTTTCCGCAATAAGTTTTCATTTATTATTTTTATTATTATATGCTGCATTTTACTTTACTCTTCTTGCATCTAGTTAAACTAAATGTGTTTGTAACTGACTTCAAAATAGAAAAGGAGATTATTTATATTCAACGGCGATGTATGTTTATTATATTTTTTTGTGTTTGTTCAGAGCAGATTTTTAACCAATTGCTGACCGTTTTTTTTTAATTTTTATTTTGTTAGACGACCCGAGGTAATCCATACATAAATAATTATTTATATTTGTTTTTATTGGGTACTAGCTGGTCCCCGACTTCGTACGCGTCGAAAGTAACCTAAGTTACCCCTTATTACATAAGCTATTAGCTAATGAAAGTCCCGTCAAAATCGATCCAGCCGCGTCATATCTTACAAACAAACATTCTAATTTTATTTATTTGTAGAGATTTAATACTGTATGCTTAAACCTGTAATTGGCTTATGGTAAGCTATTTTCATAAGTCAATAAATGAATTACATATTCATCTTTGGGTCACCGAATATTTGTTGTTTATAATATTTGTTTGTTCTCTTAGAGTAGTTTCGGTTTCGTTAATTCGTCTTGATGTTTATTTTTTATTTTCGATGGGATTAAATCGTTTACCGTCACTTATAGTTATCAACTCGGTACTATCGCTATAGTATCAACACAGACATGGGTACTTTTGACAGTAATCAACCCCTTTAGGTTCTGTTATTGAAAACATTGAATTTCCAATAAACCTTGTTTCATTCTTCTCGATAGAGTTCAAAACTAACCGATATTTTGCGATATAGCCAAGACTGTTACTACAGAAAAATTAACAATTAGTTCAGAGATAATTGAATAGTTTAGTCAACTACTTAACAGGTTATTCGACACTTTTAAATTTCCTTGAAATATTTTAAATGAGGGCGGGATGATAAATAGCTAGCCTAGCATAGAAAAACTTGAATTAGTGTGTTGAAAGTATATTTATTTTTCGACATAGTCTCCTTGAAGCGCTATGCACTTCATCCATCTATGTGCTAAAGCCTTGATGCCATTCCTGAAGTGGTTTTCTTCAAGCCCTTCAAAATAACTGTCCACAGCAGACATCACCTCGCTATTATTTTCAAATCTTTGTCCACCTAAATAAATGTTGAGCTCAGGGAATAGATAAAAGTCAGATGGTACCAGATCAGGAGAATAACCCGGGTGTGGTAGCAAATCATCATCAATTTAATTCTTTGAATTTTGCCATCGCAGTGATACACATGTGAAGGCGCGCATTATACTGATGACAGATTATTATTCTTTTAGCCAGGCCGTGTCTTTTTTCACGAATACACACTTGTAATTTATCCAGTAGATCAGCATAATATTCGCCATTTATGTTTTGTCCTTTTGGAAAGTAATCAATCATCAATATACCCTTCGAATCCCAAAATATTGACGCCATGACATTCCCCGCTGATTTCACGGCTTTTTCTTTCTTTGGAACCAGGGATCCTTATTCCGTCCATTGTTTAGACTGAATTTTTGATTCAGGTATATCGTGGTGAACCCAAGTCTCGTCTGTAGTAACAAACCGTCGCAGAAAATCAGTTGTATTGCTCTTAAAGCGGTCCAAACATTCTTGTAAAATTTGCATACGAACGCGTATTTGATCAACTCTAAGCAATCGCGGCACCCACCTTGTGGATAATTTTTTCATACATAATTCTTGAGTCAAAATGTATTGCACTTGTTCTATAGAGATACCTACAGTATCAGCTATCTCGGAAAGTTTCAATCTTTGGTCAGCTAAAACTGCATCATGAATTTTGATCACAATTTCTGGAGTAGTGGCACTTTTTGGACGTCCTGGACGATGTTCATCTTGGGTACTGGTACGGCCACGTTCAAATTCAGCCACCCAATTTTTATGATCGCATATGAAGGAGCATTTTCTCCCAAAACATACTTCATCTCCGAAAAAATCTCTACACCTTTTAATCCTTTTAAATGCAAAAACTTTATCACAGCTCGTTACTCAATTTTATCCATTTTGCAGAAAAAACAAAAGAATGCTTTTTGAAATGTCAATATTTAAAAGAAAAACTATACGATCAATTTGAAATTTGGAACACTGGCAGCTAATGAACCAATGAGTAAAATACTAAGGAGATTTTACATCGTTATTATACAAAATATGGGTTGGGCTAGCTATTTATCATCCCACCTACGTACCTTAATGTGTTGAGAATTTAGTACAAATTTGGTTTTCTATAAATATGAATTAATTGGATAAACAGACATTGTGGTACAGAAGATGACGTAATGCTATTGGTTATATTAGATACTTAAATCGATTTTGTTAGAAAGGATGATGAAGCAGTAATTAGCATATTTGCTTTACTTTTGCGGAAGCTAAGATAATTTTTACATAAAAGTTTTATTCTTGGATATACCCATTACTATCTCGAGTTCCTGCATGCTTCAGAAGGCATGTTAACCAATTAGTTACGTTAAAATGATAGAGTTTTATTATATATTACAAATTTATATTAGATTAAAAACTGATCTAAATTTATAACATAACTAATCTTCTTATATTTAATCAATTTTACGTTCACAAAGTTTGTTCACGGCCAATTATGCTTCATTATGTAAATAGCTTTTTTTCCTAGGTTTATAATGATTTTATATAACTAAACTACTTGGAAGCAGTCAAATATAATAATTGATTATTTACTAATAAAGGCCTAGTATGAAACATAAGGGCCTACTCTGTTCACAAATGAAATTTCAGGATATTTTGAAATTATAATTTTTAACCGCCTTCAAAATCCAAAAGGAGGAGGTTATATATTTTTTTATGTATGTCCACCGATAATTCCGCCAATTTTTGACCTATATTCAGAAATCTTTTTGATTCGAAAGTTAAATGGACCGAGGTGGTGTCATTTAATTTTATCGAAATTGAATAAGTAGTTTTCCTTTTATATCAAAACAAAACACGCTTATCACCCAAATATTTAGTTGATATGGTAAGGCATGGCCCATTTTAGCTGTGGTAGCACCTGAAACTTGTAGAATATAAGTAAATACTTACTCTTTGGTTCACAACATAATTATTTTTATAAAAGAAAAAGAAGTTTACTTGTCATGTTTTTAGGATTTACTCTTTGTGACACGTTCTTGAAAAATATTCATTTTATCCTTTGCTTTAAATTAATAATTAATTAATAAATGAAATATTGCTTAAAACTGAAAGATACGATTAATAGGACAACAAGAATATTATACGATTGAGATTACCACCACATTAGCCATTTTTATTTTTAGGTGAACTTTCCATGTTCAAGAAGTATGTAAATAATTCATAAAAGTAGGTATGTTCATTGTGAACCAATTTTTATCAAACTGGCTGTTTCCCCGCGAGTTCGCTTGTTAAATTAAAGCATATGTCCAACAAGTATTATAAGCTTACAATAGATGAAAGAAATAAGCAATCCAATCTTTTCTCTTTTTAAAATATGAGTATAGAATTATTTATATTTAATATTTTTAGTGATACTCATTTTATAAAAGAATATCAATATCACAAGAAAAACATGAAAAAAAATCCTAAAAGGTAATTATGATTAAACAACCGCAATGTAATAATTTACAAACTTAAATAGAAGAAACTCAAAAATTAAATATTGATTATGTTAAAAACGACATCTTGCGAAAAAATATGGCAATATTGTTTTTTGATTGTTGGCAATAGAATAATAAATTGATGGCAGACATGTGACGTTGAACGGCGAGTCAGTGGAATAAAGTATCAAGTAATATTAGTTTAAATTAATGCATCATACCAACTTCTGAGATTGTCCATTAGTGATATATAAAAAAAAAACTTTCTCATCAAAAACTCATCACACCTTTGACATTATGAAACTACCCGACAGATTGCATTTCTGTCGGTAGTTTCATTATAGCAGAGGTACCACAATCGGAGTATCTAACTGATTTCAACGGAACATTAAAGTTAATTTTAGAAAGAAATTCAAGGGGATCAATTTTGTTAGAAATTATTCTAAGTAAGCACACCACTTTTGATATTTCACATCGCTTATACAATGGAATGCAATTGATTGCAGAATTTTAAATATTGTTTGAAAATATAAAATTAATTAAGAATAAATAAAATTTTACAAGCTTACATTTACTTAACCGTATAGAAATACGGTCAATGTATTTGTCGTAGCATGTATTCTTGATCTATATTCCAATATACTGCTTACAAAAGTACAATACAATATCTTAATAGTTTTGACATTTTTAAAGTTACAAAACCTAAAGACCGCGGTGTTTTTTTATAATTTCAAATAAAAAAAACACCACGGTCACAGCTTTGAATCATAAGTAATTCCAAGATCACGTATTTTGGAAAGTCTTTTTAAATTATGATTTTTCAGTTCATATTGAGTAAGAATAACATTCCTTTTTTGGTTGAAAGTTACAAAGGAGCAATTGTTGGTATTAAAATCAAGTTTATTTCTGTCACAGTAACTATCTAGACGTGCTAAGTTCGACTAAAAATATAAGGGAACAGCTCTAGAAAATATCACTCTAGAAATTTGCATATCGTCTGCAAAACATAGTAATCTAAAATCTTCATCATCATCATCAGCCCTTTTACGTACAGAATGCAGGGGCTCAGGCTTTCCTTAGGGATGGTTAAGGAGTATGGGCCATGACCCTCCACGCTGGCCCAATGCGGATTGGAGGGTATTAACTACTGCAAATGCAGCCGGGACCAACGGCTTAACGTGCCTTCCGAAGCACGGAGTAGCTCAAGATAATATAATTTTTTGGTCACCCATCCCGTGAACGACCCTTGCGAAAGTTGCTTAACGACAACGATCGCGGGCCGCGGCGCTTATTTACTACGTCACCGAGCTACTCTAAAATTAATCTTAAATGATGGAAACTATTCTGTGTACTAGTCTACATACCAAATTTGAGCGTTGTAAGCCTTCATGTAAAAAGCGACTATATATTAGGTCCTTACATATGAAATTGGCTTAATTGGCTAAAAATTAATTTATACACACATGCATTTGGCATTCATTTGTTTTTTTTCCTCTGTTTGTCCTGTTTACGTCACCCAGTATAAAAAATGGAAAACTCGAATTATCGTGTTATTTACGAGTACGAGCTGGTCAATCGCTCTACGCCACTGCTACTTCACAACAACGCTAGACCACACACTGCACAAACACCAATTTCATATGTAAGGACCTAATATATAAATATAACTTTTTAATAAATAGTACAGTATTTGAGACAAAAACACTTACCTTGTATTATGATCACTCAAATATCCACGTTCCCTTTCTCTTTCTCGTTCACGCATCAATTCGTTACGATCACTAAAACAAACAAACACTTATTAAGAAGTAATTTTGATTCATTAAAATACTGTTAATATTTTTTTTGAAACGTACGTATTTTAGAAACATGAAAGATAAATCGGTAGTGTCAATAGTTT